AGAGAAAAACATTTCCTTTAAGTTTTCCCACTACTAACCAGCCATTCACTTGTTTAATCCACACTGCAAATACCACTTGGTTCATCTCTTAGCACTACTTTGGAATGTCCATATTTAGCCAAAAATTACAGGTAAGTTCCTTGTTTTATCCAAATGACTTTACCCGTCCCTGATGCTGATGCAAATTCAGTAATGCTTTGCTGGGTCTCGGGATGGCTAGAGGTTGCTAAACCTGCCCTACCAGCTTTGTGGACACAAATAATGCAAAACTTTTTCTATGTCCAGATGTGCACCACTCTAAATATCTGCCTCATCTCTCTTTACAGATCTCACATTTTATCCCAAAGACTCAAGGCTGTATCGCTTCCCAGAGATGCTGCTGACACTACTTCGACTGTGGGCAGGAACTGTCCCTTTGTTCTGTGTCTGTACAGCCCCTAGCACAATGAGCTCTGGTCCATGAGCAGGGCTTCTGGGTGCTACCACGACACAAATGATAGCAATCATTAATAAACTTCAAGATAACTGTGGATTTTGCTTGATGAAGCTGCACAGTTGCTTTTCGAAGGGGTGTGTTTCAGTCAACGGGTAATTGGCTAACCCAGAAGGAAACATTCAGAATGATATTTGTCTTTTACAAGTGTCTCCATACATTCTCCAGAGTGTTACTTTCCAACAGAGGAGAGAGAGGCATTACCTTGAGAACATCCCCTGACTCGAGTTCAAAAGTCCTGGCTTTCAGCTGGATTCCCTTTCCTGGCTGGGTCTGGATGGAGTAGATGCATTCATGGTTGTTATTGTAGTTTATTGGATAGTTGGGGGACAACAGAACCCCTTGAGTTCCGGTTACAGATGAGCCACATTCAGCTGTGGGAAGACACAAAGAAACATTTTAATAACCATATGGAAATACTCACAATATGTATCTGAATCCCTGCATGTTTGTGTATAGGGCACTTGGTCCCTTACACACACCCCAAATCCACATTGCCTTGTGCTCTCTCTTCAAGTGCAACTGGCATTTCCGCAATGAGCAGGGCTGAGCGAATAGGGTTTAGAAAATTCTGTGAATATTCAGATTAAAAAAATAATCCTAATACGACCGTGTCTGGTCTATGAACATTCAAAGAGCTGAGCTTTACTAGCGCAGCTATTTGCAAAAAGAAAAAAATAACAGTTTAAGCTTGGATGTACCATTACTCACTGAGGCCCTGATTCAGGAAAGCACCTATGCACCTGCCTAACTGTGAAATCGACAGGACTTGAGCACATGCTTAAATGCTTTCCTGAATCAGGGCCCGAAAGAACATTTTGAAGTGCATGTTACATTGTGCTATTCAACCATTTGCCTGTCTGCTTATACTAGTCACCCGACACACAAAAAACAAAACCAGACCCCTTCTATTTAACTAACCAACACAGACAATATTTCATAGCTCAGCCATTGAATAGTGGTAACAAACTCTTACAACGGTAAAGGCTAGTTGTGCAGGAAAATATGCGGAGTTCAAATTCACAAATAATTTTAAATAATAACCAAATCTGTGAATTTCACAATCTTCCCAAAAATAAAGTTGAAGACAGAAAACAGGCAAAATCCGAGACACTGTTCATTGGTAATTATGCCCTTAGCTCTAGTGATACAATAGCAGATCGGGGATTCACTATCTGACATTATTTCAAAGCCTCCTAATCTTTTACTGACCCAGCACTTCTCTCCCCAACCTTGCAGCTGCCAGCTCTAGTAATTTCAACAAGGAATGGGAGAAGCTTGTGGAGATATGAAGGTTTTCCCACTCCCTCATATTCATTTTTTGGTTCCCAAACTAGTCCAAGTTCACTCACCTTTGTTTCCTCCCAAAATTTAAGCCCAGAGATTTTTCAAAGACGAGTCACTTGAACCCCACCCCATTTTCTGTAGGTGAACAAAAGCCAGCCCCCTATTAGGGAGAGAATACATAGATTCATAGATTCTAGGACTGGAAGGGACCTCGAGATTGCAGAAATGCTCAGCTGACCCTGACAGGCAGACCAATAGACAGGATACAGACTATATTTATTTTGTCATTAGAATTTCTCTTTGCTCCTTTTGTCACACTCCACGTTTCCACTGGGTTTTCTCCCCTACTCCACCTACTTGGGTCCTTTGTCTACATCGTCTCCTAATACAAACATGAACCCTGTAGCATTTCAGTTCAAGCCAAAGTTTGGATTCCACAGTGTCTGAATGGCTCACATTTTCAAAGCAAGCTACTTTCCAGAGGAAGGATGGCCTTGGGGTGACGACATTGGATTGGGACTCAGAAGTGGGTTTAACTCCCAGTGTGACCCTGGGCAAATCTCTTAATTTCTCTGCGTCTCAGCTCCCCATCTATAAAGTGGGGATAATAATACTTCTTTTGTCTGTCTTGTCTATTTAGATTGGAAGCCTTTCTAGGCAAGGTTTGTCTCGTATTATGGGTCTATACAGCACACGGCACAACAAGGCCTTGATATTGGTTGGGGGTCCTGGGTGTTACTGGAAAATAACACCACAACAACAGCACTTGAGAAAATGAGGCACAGAGGAATTAATAAGCCTGATTTTCTGGGGTCCTGAGCAATCACTGCTTCTACGGACTCCCAAAGGAAGCTGTGAGCACTCAGCGCTTCTGAAAATCAAGCTGTAAGTGGCTTATCTAACAGTGAGCCCATGGAGGAGGTAGATATAGAACCTGGGAGTCCTAACTCCTAGTCCTGTGCAGAGCAAGTCTGGAATCTTCCTTGCAAAATGCTGATTTATGAAAACTGAATCAGTTTGTGGGAAAGGGTCAGCTCTGATGAGCCTCCCAATTCGAAAATTTGAACAAAGTTTTGAAATTGTCAAAACATCCCGGTTGACTTTTTCTAATAAAAAAAAAATCATTTTGGGGCTTGAAATGACTTTTTGTTTATATTGTTTTGTTAATTTTTACTAGGAGAAAAGTAAAAAATAATTTTTAAAAGGTGAAAAGCAAAAGCAAACCTTTTGAAACTGCTGAAATGACACATTTTGACTGACCCAAATTAAAAAAAGGAATATCAGTCTGTCGGTGGGTGAAAATCTTTGAGATTTTGTCTTTTCAGTCCAATTCAGGACAGGAAAAAAATTTTAAATCTCAAACCTTCTCACAATCTGAGAAAACCATTCCCCACCCAGATGTAGTCCTGCACTCTCACCATAAACCACAGCCCTTTTCTTAGAGATCCTATCACTACATAATACCCAGAACATTATTATTAGTTCCTTGATCCCTACCTACTCTTTGCCACACCAGCAGCAGTTTCAGCATTGCATCAAGTAGGCTGCTGTGAAGACTAATCAGGGCAAAGAATTGGCCTTAGCAGGCTGCAGTGAAATCACATTGGCTTTTGTTATAATCTAATGCACATGGCTTTCAAAGTTACTTTTCTCCCCCCAGAATTAAAAAGAACCTTTCATTGACACATGCAATCTATTGTACAAAGCAATTTAAGAGCCTGGAGATGTGATGGTTTCAAGATTCTGTGCATCAGATACCATTAAGCAGCTATGTTCCCTCCCTGCTTGCACCTTTGAATACATTTCAAAGCATTAACAATCATCCAGGCTGGCGTTCACCCTAGAACAAAGCACCTCCCCCTGCCATCGTATCTTTCAGGTATGTCACAAGGAATTCACCCGAGACTCTCAGACGGAATTGATCAGGCAAATATTGATTCAGATGCCTGCAAACCTGCTAGGTAGCTTCACCCTGCGTGTTAAGTCTGTACCTTCGCAAGGGAACCGGCTTCTGTGCTCCCCACCTCTTCAGACCACTGAAGCTACTCTGTTACTTGGCTGGCCTTATGGTTAGTGAGGTCCCAAGATCCCAGTGAGGGCGGTAAGTCAAGCAAGGCACTGCCTTTCCTCTTTGACCCGGCTACTGGAGGGCAGGGGGATGAAATTCTGGCAAGGGCTTGATTTTTCCTCCTCTCCAAACCTACTACCAGAGAGCGAGATAGGGCAGAGCCTCCAAGGGAAATGGGGCCTACAAAAGAGTGTTGCTCTAAGTAGCCACTCGCTTTGCTTTACTTGTGTCTAAGAACCGCCAGGCCTCTTTTGCATCACTCATGGTGATCCATTTGCAGCTTGTCTCTCCAAAGTAAGACACAGGCAGGTTCCTAAGGGAGCCAGCAGCGTAAGAGCAGGTAGATAACACTGAGACTAGCTTGACGTAAAGCTGGTGTCCGTGCAGAAGAGAGGACCAAATACAGGCTGAATAAGGAAGCATTTGTTCAAGGCAATGTGTGAAAGCTGGTACCAAACCCTTCCCCTGTAAAGGGAAAAGGCTTTCATGATCTTCCCTGAGCAGTGAAGGCCCCAAGGGCATCCTGAGACATTTACAGAAACCACAGAGCCCGCTGAGTAACTCAGGATGAAGTCTACATGGACATGTGACTAGAGCAGTGTCCTATTACTTCCCTCACCTCCTATTAAATTAGAGGGTGCTATTAACACTAACTAGGGATAAGAAGACTGAGAGGGGACATGATAACAATTTTCATGTACATACAAGGTTGTTACAAGGGGGAGGGAGAAATTCTTCTTCTTAACCTCTGAGGACAAGAAGCAATGGGCTTAAATTGCAGCCAGGGCAGTTTAGGTTGGACATTAGGGAAAACTTCTCAACTGTCGGAGTGGTTAAGCGCGGGAATAAATTGCCAAGGGAGGTGGTGGAATCTCCATCATTGGAGATTTTCAAGAGTAGGTTGGACAAACACCTGTCAGGGATGGTCTAGATAATACTTAGTCTTGCCATGAGTGCAGGGGACTGGACTAGATGACCTCTCGAGGTCCCTTCCAGTCCCGTGATTCTGTAAGAGCTCAGAGAGCCAAAGAACTACTAGGTCTTACACATTTGCCATAGGACCATGACTCCTCTTGGGCAGCCCCAGTTTTCAGCGAGAGGGTTGGTCAGTTCCGCTGGGCTCCTATCTGTCCATCCTATTTCCCTTAACCGTAGCCTGGGGAGCACTTGATCACAGTGCAGAGGGCTGGTTCTCCATGGCACTTACTCCTCTTTTAAAGAGGTGGTGTTAGCATAGCCAAAGGAACCACGTTATATCATTCAAGCAAATATCCACGAGGAATGTCTGTGGATATTTGCTCAGTTGTAACTGCTGACCCTAGTCTCCCTCACAAAAAGTATTTCAGCACTGATTTCTTTACAGGAAAAGGCTGTTGCATGCCCTCTGCAAATATGTAATGTAGTAGCAGGTGATGGAAAATCAGGCATAAAATTCCTGACTGTATTCTTTTACACAAGGCTAACACACAGTTGAGAATCTGATTACCAGCATCCTGGAACTAGTCACCCAAACACCAGAGTTCCCTGCAAACCATCAGACAGTACATTTGATCCATTATTATAAAACCAACATGTTAATTTAAAACCAGGAGTAAACCGGATAAGTAGAAGCCATTATGTTTGCTTAGCGCTGATGTCTGTGGATCGAATTGAAAGCGGTGTTATGACTCCTTTTGATTTCTATTTTCCTGATTAGCTTTCCCTGCAACCTGATTACTATGCGTGCCCCAGAATGGGTGCTTGTCATGGCAGGATGATGTGACTTTGTGACTGGGACATTAAGCAGTGCTAGGAAATGGATTCAGCATGACAGGACTCACAGGCAACGCGCTGCAGACTGCAGAGACAGCCTTGCTCTCTGTGGGATGCCGTCTCTGCCTCGGCCGCAACAGGTTCCTCACATTTATAGACAGACTCGAAATGGCAGGATTTGCCAGACTGGAAGCGGCGGGATAAATGGATCAGGGATTATCCCTAAAGCAGAGGGCTCTCAAACTGCATGCTCTAGCCCACTGGCGGTCGGCGGAGGACTTGCTCATGGTCTGCAGGGAGATGGCTGATAACCCGGTGTTGGCTGTTTATTTCTAACTGTCAGATTGCGTTACAAGAAACTAAAAAATGTACATGAAATACTGCCCTAGGATCACTCCTCTATGTAAAAAATTGCTGTCGGTGCCCCAGAGATGATATGCAATGGCCAGTGGGAAGGGAGGGCAGGGACCAATGGGAGGAGGAGGAGGTGGAGGCTGGTCACTGGGTGGTGAAGAGGGGCCAATGGAAAGAAGAGGTGGGGGGTGCTAGGCAAAGGGAGGGGAGGGCAGGGGCCAATGGGAGGATGAGGTGGGGACTGGGCCATGGGAGGAGGTTGGGGGCGGGGCAATGGGAGGGCAGGGCGGGGGCATAGGAAGGGCAGTGTTTTCCAGGAGACAATCTCTGTATGAACTCCTGGTCTGCTCGCTTGTGGGCGTCTCCTCCTAAGTCCCCTGTGCCCCACGTTTCCGTGTTCTCTGGGACTCGGTGGAAAGGGTATCGTTTTCTAGCCATCTTCATGAGACTTTTCATCAGGGATGCAGCCCCCCACCCTCCCCCCAGATACCCTATGATTTACTTGCTGCTCCGTGGACTGTCTCCAGAGCTGCTGCTCACTCCCTCTCCCTCCCCGCCCACGCGGTGAGCACAAAGACGTGGCCCTGGGGGGGAGGGCAGGGATGTCGCACGCCACCGGCGCACGCCCCTGCCCATTTCATATTACGATAGAATACGTCAACCAAGCAAAATGAAAGCACATGACCACCTACCAACACACCTTGGCAGAGGCGAACTCCACACACGCCGTCTACCCCCCAGGCAGGTGATGCGCGACACGCCCTCCAGCCGGTACCCGGGGAAGCAGGAGAAGGTCAGCACGTCCCCCACGCCGAACTGCAGGCCCTTCCGAATGCTGTAGGCCGGGACCTCGGGCTCGTCGCAGGGCTCC